GCGCTGTGAATTGTGCAAGACTGTTGAATCTCAGATCTGTACCTCTGAAACAAATAATGCAATATATGTTAAGAAAAAAAAAGAAGAAGAAGAAGGTAGCGGGAGGGGAAGAATGAAGCGGGGGAAATCGGAGGTGTAGACGAACCATGAGAGACGATGGACTCTGAAAAACAAACAGGGTTCTAGAGGGGAGGGGGGTGGGAGGATGGGTTAGCCTGGTGGTGGGTATTGAGGAGGGCACGTTCTGCATGGAGCACTGGGTGTTATGCACAAACAATGAATCATGGAACACTTCATCTAAAACTAATGATGTAATGTATGGGGATTAACATAAGAATAAAAAAAACATAATATAAATACTAATAAAAAAAGAAATTTATATTCCTCATTAGGTAGTGAGGACTATATTAATGAATTTCTATTTGATTCTCAAATGGCAAGACTTGTATAATTCTCTCTGAAAAATTTTAACTTGGGCTGAATCTAGAAAAATTTTAACATTCCTTTTTTAAAAAGTAAAATAAAATCCTAAAACTATAAAACATTGAAGATGACACAAACAAATGGAAGATATTCCATGCTTGTGGATTGGGAGAACCAATATTATTAAAATATCCATTCTACCTAAAGCAATCTACAGATTTAATACCATCCCTATCAAAATACCAACAGCATTTTTCACAGAACTAGAACAAATAATCCTAAAATTTGTATGGAATCCCAAAAGACTTCAAATAGCCAAAGCAATCTTGAAGAAGATGAACAAAACTGGAGGTATCACAATCCCAGATTTCAAGATACAGTGCAAAGCTGTAGTAATCAAAGCAGTATGGTGCTGGCCAGAAAACAGATATATAGGTCAATGGAATAGAATAGAAAGTCCAGGAATAAACCCAGGCTTTTATGGTCAAGTTATCTGTGACAAAGGAGGCATGAATATGCAATAGGAAAAAGACAGTCTTTTCAATAAATCATATTAGGAAAGCTGGACAGCTACATGCAAAAGAATAAAACTAGACCACTTTCTTACACCATGCACAGAGATAAACTCAAAATGGATTAAAGACCTAAATGTGAGACCTGAAGCCATAAAACTTGAAGAACACAGTAATTTCTTTGACATTGGCCATAGAAACACTTTTCTAGATATGTCTCTTCAGACAAGGGCAACAAAAGCAAAATTAAAGTATTGGGACTATACCAAAATAAAATGCTTTTGCACAGTGAAGGAAACCATCAATAAAGCAAAAAGGCAACCTACTGAATAGGAAAAGATATTTGCAAATGATCTATCTGAATAGGGGTAAATATCCAAAATATATGAGGAACTCACACAACTCAACACCAAAAAATAATCTCATAAAAAATGGGCAGAGGACCTGAATAGACATTTGTCCAAAGAAGACATACAGATGGCCAACAGACACATGAAAAGATGCCCAACATCACTAATCATCAGAGAAATGCAAATTAAAGTCACAATGATATATCACCTCACACCTGTCAGAAAGGCTAAAATAAAAAACGCAAGAAATAGCAAGTGTTGGTGAGGATGTGGAGAAAAAAAGAACGCTTGTGCACTATTGGGAAGGCAAATTGGTGCAGCCATTGTGGAAAACAGTATGGAAGTTCCTCAAAAAATTAAAAATGGAATTACCATATGATCTAGTAATTCCATTACTGGGCATTAACCCATCGGAAATAAAAACACTAATTCAAAAAGATGTGTGCACCCCTATGTTTACTGCAGCATTATTTACAATAGCTAAAATATGAATGAATAGATAAGACGTGGTATGTATATATATATGTGTGTGTGTATATATATGTATATACATATATACATATAAGGGAGTGTTATTCAGCCATAAAAGAATGAAATTTTCCATTATCAACACCATGGGTGGATCTAGAGGGTATGATACTAAGTGCAATGGGTCAGACAGAGCAAGACAAAAACTGTATGATTTCACTCATATGTGGAATTTAAGAAATAAAACAAGTGAAAGAAAAAAGAGACAATAATCCAGACTGTTAACTATAGAGAACAAATTGATGGTTGCCAGAGGGGAGGTTGTTGGGAGAATTCTTTTATTTCAATGGGTGAAATAAAAGACTTAAGATGATATATGAGAATACTCAAAGTAATATATTAGATATTTTAGTAGTTTTCAAATTCTGAATAAATTTATAGAAAACTAAGTAGAATTACAACCAGAGAAATGACTTTTATATTTCTCTAATTTAAAACCCTTTTATTTGTATAATAATTTATGTAAATGGAAATGGATAGTATGTCTTAGAAATCAGAAGAATTCTAAAAGAAATCCTTGGAATTCAGTAAATTTGCTAAAAGCAGTAAGAATTTTTGAACACTTATCATTCTTTAGGGCACTGGACAGTAATGATTGAGAAGGTCTAAGGAAATGAGTAGACAAAAGGGGTTCTGAAAAGAAGTTAGTTGTTATTATTGCCTCAGTAGGTAATAATCAATGATAATGATAATAGCTAATGTTTACTGAGTACTTACATACTTATTAACTCATTTCATCTTCACAGCAATTGTATGAGGATATACTATTGTTATTTCCTTTTAACAGATGAGTAAATTGAGGTACAGAGAAATAAGTAATATAAGGTTAGATCTGGGATTTGAGTGTTGTGTCACTGGCTCAGAGTTCACATTCTTTTTTTTTTTTTTTTTAGAGTTCACATTCTTAACTGGTGTGTTATAAAGGAGGAAAAATGATATTAGGTATAAGATAAATATAAATCTGGACTCAAATCTTTGACTTTGCTTCTTATGTGACCTTGTGAAAGCTATCTACCTTTTTGAAACCTGTTTATTCATTTGTAAAAGGGAGCTAGCTGTATTTCCCTTTTTAGTATTGTTATTAGAATAATTTACTAGAATAATGTGGCAAATAGTACTATTTAAAAATTAGTTTTGTTTTGTTTTACATTTAAACATTGTTTCGCTAATTTTAATTCTTAGGAATGCATTACTATTTAAAGTCTGAATTAGTTTATTGTCGTTAAAAATTTTTTTTTTTAAGATTTTATTTATTTGAGAGACAGCACACAAGAGCAGGGGGTAGAGATAGAGGAGAGGGAGAAGCAGACTCCCCGCTGAGCAGGGACATCCCCCTCACCCCCCCGCATGCGGGACTCAATCCCAGGACCCTGGCATCATGATCTGAGCCAAAGGCAGACACTTAACAGACTGAGCCACCCAGGCTCATTTGAAGAAATGTCATTTTGAAGAAAGCCCTAGAATTGTAATTTTTTTTTTTAAGATTTTACTTATTTATTTGAGAGAGAATGAGAGACAGAGAGCACGAGAGGGAAGAGAGTCAGAGGGAGAAGCAGACCCCCCGCTGAGCAGGGAGCCCGATATGGGACTCGATCCCGGGACTCCAGGATCATGACCTGAGCCGAAGGCAGTCGCTTAACCAACTGAGCCACCCAGGCGCCCTAGAATTGTAAATTTTTGCATGATTGGAGAAATATATATCTTTCTTAATCAAACTTATTGGTTTGTATATTTTTTCTAACACTTAAATGTAAGAAAATATGCAATTGTTTAAATTATCATCCTTTGCCTTTCCCAGTTTTTATTGCCAAATGAATTCATTCAACCAAGTATTTATTGAACACCTATTGTCAGAGACTAGATACATAAATGTGGGGGTACACTGATGTAAGAAAACAAATACATCTGCCTTTGAGAAACTTACTTGAGTAGAAGACAACAGATATAATAAAGTTGGTAAATTATATAGTTATGAGATCATAAATATAATGGTAAAAAAAATAAAATTAGGGTAATGGGAATCAGGAGTGCAGGGAAGGAGGAAAAAGGACGAAAATTTTACATGTAAGGTTGTCGGTGTTGGCCTTTTCAAAAAGATGACATTTGAACAAAGACCCAAATAAACTGCAGGAGTTAAGCCATGTGGACATTTGAGGAAATGTCAGTACAAAGGCTTTAAAATAGTCAGCAAAGAAGTCAGTGCAACTGTTGCATAATGAGAGAGGGGGAAGAAGAACTGAGGTCATAAAGGCAATGGATGTCAGATCATGTAAGTCGTGCTATGACTGGAAAGGAGCCTGCTGCAGGATTTTTAATAGAAGATTGCTCTGACTTACTTTGTGAGAAGGTTACTTTTGGATGTTGAGTGACAGTAGATCATTGGGCACAGGGATGGAAGCAGGGAAGATATCCAAGATAAAGATGATGTTATTTCCAAACAGGGTGGTAGCAGTGGAGTTGCTGAGAAGTGGTAGGTTTTGCATAGACCTGAAGATAGAGCCAATAGGATTCCAGAGTGAATGTGGGATGTGCTAATCAAGAGAGTGACTATCCTCCTTAGAGATTCCACCAACTCTCCAGGCAATATTATACTCTCAGGGTGTGTCCACCACGGGATGGAACAGATTACTTTGGAGGAAGATCAAAATCTGCAGATGTGTTCCATCTGTAGATTCAAGCCTACTACATCACTATGCACGTCCCTAGCTCTTCTTAACTGAGGCTGCGTCTATCAATCTATCAATAGTCAACCCTAGCTGTTGCCTTTTTTTCCATGAGTCTCCATTGTTGCTAATTGAACCTGGGATGTAATGCTTATATAGTGGGAATGAATTCCATGATCCACAACCTGTGCAGAATGTAGTTTTCTTTTTTTTTTTTTTTAAGATTTTATTTATTTATTTGACAGAGAGAGACACAGCGAGAGAGGGAACATAGCAGGGGGAGTGGGAGAGGGAGAAGTAGGCTTCCTGTGGAGCAGGGAGCCCGATGCAGGGCTCGATCCCAGGACCTGAATCATGACCTGAGCCGAGGGCAAACACTTAACGACTGAGCCACCCAGGCGCCCCAGAATATAGTTTTCAATAAGTGTCCCCATTCAAGATATATTTCATTCCTGGGAACTTTTAAGTCTATTTTAGGAAAGCCCAGTCAAATTCAGGATTCTTCTCTTCCCTTTCTTCCCAAGGTGGTCATGACAATGGACATGAAGTGAGGGTGACCTCTGGGCCTCAGCTGTCATTTGTCCTATGCTGGCTTTGGGTGAACCTTCTCAAGTTCCATCTTTGGTAAGTGGCATCTAGCTTCCGTGGTCTGGGTTCCTCTTATGCCCTACAGTCATCAGTCTGGGCAGATCATTAGGTGTTTTCCTGGTTCTAGCTGCCCAGTCTATTTGGGTCTAAAAGGGCTGTTAGGGATTTCTGCAGTTTCCATAGAGAACGGGAATTTTATGTTCCTGTGCCACTGTGGAACCTGTGCCTTCCTAGGTCCTATATGCTTAGAACACCATGTGCTATTTGAACTATTTTGCTCCCACACCATTGGTGAGCAGAGCACAGAGAGGAGGTTGCTGCTTTCAGAGTTTTAGATTGAAAGTAGGACACAGCTTTCTCTACTCTTGGATCCTCAGATCGCTCATCCTTTCATTTTCCCAAAACTCACTTTGGTGGCAAGGAGGAAGGAGGGGGGGAGAAGAATCTCATTCTCAGGTGTACTTCTCTCTTTTCCCTTTCCAGTATTTTTAAATTTCCAGCCAGGCAACTTCCAGTCTGGGATGGAATGGGAGGGTGATAGGAGGTGTAGTCTGACTTCCCATCTGTTTTCCTTCTAGTCTGTTGTTTATGGTATAAGTCTTGGCTTTTGGTACTTAAATTACTTCCAACTCCTATGCCGGCAGCTCTCACACTTTTTGGTGCGAGGATCCCTTTACATTTTAAAAAATTATTGAGGACTCCAAAGCGTTTTTGTTTGTAAGAGTTATATCTATCAATATTTATTTCATTAGAGATTTAAATTGAGGAATTAAAAAGTATTAATTAATTTAAAAGTAACAAGAGCAAACCTATAATAAGATCATAGTTTTAATGAAAAATAACTGTTTCCCAAAAGAAAAAAAGAATAGTAAGTGGTGTTGTGTTACATTTTTGCAAATCTCTTTAATGTTTGGCTTAATAGAAGACAGTGGGGTGCTGATATTTATTTTTGCATTCAATCTATTTTGATATGTTGTTTTTGTTGAAGTAGATGAAGAAAATCTGATCCCACACAAATATGTCTTTGGGAAAGGGAACTGTGTATTTATAGCCTTTTCAGATCATTGTGGGTATTTTTCTTTGATACTACACTAAAACTTGAGAAGTGACATTTTCTTAAAAGGTATTTGTAATGTAGAATTTGAAACTAGCTCAATAAACTTTTCACATTCTGCTACATTTAAAACTATTAGTTTGTCTTGTCCCAAGAATTGAACTTTTACTATTATAATGATGTACCATGTATAATGAGTCTGTAACCTCATGCATAGGTCATTTGGAAAATACTGGTTCACTGAGTCATGCAGATCTTCCAAATGTTAATGCATTTCATTATATAATATTAGAAAATAATATTTGTTAATATCACCATCAATCTCTTCACAAAAAGTATTTAAATATTAGTCTGCTGTTAACTTCTTAGTAGCAGATACAAGTTCTACAAACTTTTAATTTTCACTTGAAAGCTCAAATTTTATCATTGGCAATAAATACAGCTAATTGTTTTTCTTGAAGTGACAGGCTCACTTTGTTCATTTTCAAAAAAAATCTTTGCCAATTACTGAAGTCTATATAACCATAGTTCTCTGTCAGTCATTTTTTCAAGTAAAAATGATGCTCCACAAATGAAGTAGCTAGTTTTCTTTTAGTTTAGATATATTGAAAAAAATAAGAAAAAACCCAAAATAACTAGTTCAATTTGCAACTCAGTTGCTCAAGTGCTTTTGCCTGAGATAACTATCTACTTCAGTATGTGGCAGAAGTGCTCTAGGCACTTCTGTTTATGGGTCTTCACGTTTTGTCACAGCGAGTATTAAGAAGACAGGTACTCAAGGTTGAAATTTAATAATATATTAATAATTCTTACTGCTTCATCAAGGGCATTCTTAAGTGCAGCTGACTTTTTTATTTTAATGAGTGTGTGTGTGATGGTGAAGAATATAATGACTACTAGTACAGATTGATGTCACTACCTTGATTTATGTTAAAGCACCAGCAGTTTTATCCATTATTGCTATTGCAAAATTGGGAGAAAATCAATAAAATGACAGGAATATAATAAATTAGTATAATTATAAAAATATTTTGACCCTGTAGACCCCCTGAAGGGGACTTGGTTTGGCTAGAGGTCCAAGACTATACTTTCATAACCACTGGACTAATGTACTAAGTAAGGCTATGCATCAAGACAGAGGTCTTACCTATTATTTAATCTGGATAATATCCAGTATCTGATGTGCTGAAGTCAGCTGCTGCTTAGATCTCTTCCTCTGTGCTCTTCCCACCAAACTGGCCACTGTTGGTCCTGAATATTTAGGCTTTTTTTTTTTTTTAAACGATAGATTATTGCTGTTGTGATAAAAATAGTACAGATACTTGGAAATAAAAATTCAAATATTTCTCCCTTGTCCCACAGTCTAGTCCCATTTATTATTATTTTACCTTCTCTGTTCAAGTTGTGTTGATTATCTCCATAATTCTGATTATCTTTTACCTTAATTTCTTTGTGTGTCAACTTTAAGCAATATCTGTTGGCTTCCCACTGAAGGATCAGACATTTAGCTCATTTATGTTATTCTTCTCATTTATACTTTTTTTTTTTTTTAAAGATTTTATTTCCTTATTTGAGAGAGAGATAGAGCATGTGAGTGGGGGAAAGGGCAGAGGAAGAGGGAGAAGCAAACTCCCTGCTGAGTGGGGATGTGGGGCTCGATGCCAGGACCCTGGACTCATGACCTGAGCTGAGGGCAGACACGTAACTGACTGGGCCACCCAGGCGCCCCCTTCTCATTTATACTCTTGTTCATCCTCCTAATTTTTGAGCATATATTCATATTTTTATTTTTGTTTCTAAGCTCTTTTTGTTATGTTTGCGGCTTTAAATAATATACTTAAACATAGATTTCTGCTGAACTTACTACAGGTCGCAAGCAAACCAGAATGTTCTCCCAAGAGAAGTGAGGAGTGACAGGTTGAGCTATTTAGGCCCAGTTGCTGCTTGCAGCTTGACCACCTAGATAATTCATGGCTCCTGCCTGGTGGCAGAATACGTGAGAGACAGGGAGAGTCAAATGTTAACAATAACTGATAATAAAGCAAGGAGAAAATGGGTTTATAGTGGTCACATTTGACTTCTTCCATTAACAGATGGAGAAATTGAGGCCCAAAACGGAAAAGTGACCTATCCAATGATATTTAGTTAAGAATAGATATTGGACTACAGTCTGGATCTATCCTCATTGCTGCTCTAGCTGTACTGAGGACATCCCTATAATAAATTGGGGGTAGGAACAATATGGTTTTATCAAGTTGATCCTAGATGGGAATGAAAATTTCTCAATATTATATTTTCATAGCTTTTTGTTATTTTTAAAATTATAGTCTTTAACTGCTTAAAAGTTTGTGAACATATTTATTTGTATGTGAAATAGACTTTATTTTCTGATAGTAGGTTTTGTGGGCCTTAAAAGTTGTGATTGTTGGGCGCCTGGGTGGCTCAGTTGGTTAAGCGACTGCCTTCGGCTCAGGTCATGATCCTGGAGTCCCTGGATCGAGTCCCGCATCGGGCTCCCTGCTCGGCAGGGAGCCTGCTTCTGCCTCTGACCCTCCCTTCTCTCATGTGCTCTCTCTCTCTCATTCTCTCTGTCTCAAATAAATAAATAAATAAAATCTTAAAAAAAAAAAAAAAAAAAAAAAAGTTGTGATTGTTTTCATAATTATTAAACTTGTTATGGTGATCTGTGATCAGTGATTATGACCTGCTGAAAGTTTAGATGATGGTTAGGATTTTTTATCAGTAAAACAGATTTTAATTAAGGTAAAAATAAAATAAAAAATAAAAGTTGTGTTTGCTTTGAAGGACATAAATTTCACAAATTCTGAAAAGATACATTAGAACCCTAGGAGTATATAACATTTTGAGCTTGTATTTCTGTTTAAAGTGGTTGAAACTTAAAAAAAAAAATCAGATTCAGAATATTATTTACCAAATAGAGAAAGGAAGACCAATCTTCTCTGGTCCAACTGTATAAATTTTGCATAATATTTAAGAGCAAGATCTGGTTTCCATTTTAGTTATTGATTCAAAATAGAGCATTTTGGCATCAGATATGTAGACAGCAGGCATTTCCTGTACTTAATTTATTCCCTCACAACCAAGAAGCAGCTTGACGTAGACAGTTTTATGTAAGGTTTGTCACAGATCCTGTGTGCTTTGGAAATGTTTCACATTTCATTAAGTTTAATTCAGTTTTCTGTATGATAAAATATGGGTAAATACATTCTTCCCAACAATATCTTGGAGACTTTATGCTGCGGGTAATAAATTTGTGAAATTTGCTTTTACTTCCTTGAAAGGGATTGCTAGGCAAAATATTTGCCTAAATCTGGCAAGTAAATGTCTTTCTTAAATACTTATTGACACTAGTCATGATTCCTTTCTCTGAGATGCTCCAAAGGAGATGGTGAAAATATAGCAGGTTCCAATTTTAATGATTTACTGGTCTTTGTATTTATAACTTTTGGGCATAGGCTGAGAAATTATAGAAACTCACAGATTAAGATTGATATAGGATTAATGGAAGAAGGTACAAGGGGAGGTTAAAAAATAAATTTTATATAATGAATAAGTGAATAAATTGTGACATTTGTTGAGAGCAGTGAATGTATAGAGAACGCATAGACAATTTACTGAGGACAATAAATGGCAACAACTAGTAGTAGCACTGGGTGGTGGGACGTGGCCCCCAAACTCTGTTAGGTACCCTTGGCCACAGGTGAGTGGCATACTCAAAGTAGAGTCTAGGTTTTCTTGGGAATGGAATAAATGTCACACTGTCTTGGCTATAAATTTAGTCTGCTCTTAGGTAAAGTAAGTGAAGAGAAGGTAGACATTTCTAGCCAACACAAATAATTTCCCAAGGATTATCCACTGCAAGTATTCATTGCTCTTTCCATGACTGCCAACTATTTGGGGATGGTGGTATGTGTGATTGGGGTGGGATGGGCAGGAAGAAGGCAGCAGCTATGTTGTAGGT